GAAAGCCTCATGCATCAACATGTTAAGAGACACTACCAGAGAGAGAGGAGAGGATGAACCAGCAAGACTGGACCTTGTATTGACCTTGAGATGTTCGGACATTGAGGGTATCATGTATGAAAGGCCCCTGGGAGCTAGTGATCATGTGGTTCTGTGCTTCGACTACATAGTTGAGCTCCAGGTGGAGAGAGTAGCAGGAATAGGCTGGGAAAAACCAAACTACAAAAGGGGGAACTACTCAGGCATGAGGAACTTCCTTCAAGACATTCAGTGGGAAAGGGAACGACAGGAAAACCAGTACAAGAATGATGGACTATGTGGCAACAAAATGCAAGGAGGCAGAGGAGAGGTTTGTTCCCAAGGGAAACAGAAATAATGGGAAGAACAGAACGAGTCCTTGGTTCACCCAAAGGTGTAGGGAGGAAAAAACTAGGTGTACTAGAGAATGGAAAAGGTACAGAAGACAGAGAACCCAGGAAAATAAGAAATCAGCCGAAGAGCCAGAAACGAATATGCACAGATAAGAAGGGAGGCTCAGAGACAATAGAAATGACATAGCATCAAAAGTAAAGACTGACCCGAAGCTGTTGTACAGCCACATCAGGAGGAAAAAAACAGTCAAGGGCCAGGTAATCAGACTGAGGAAGGGGGATGGAGAATTCACAAGAAAGACCAAGAGGTTTTGTCAGGAGCTCAACACAAGACTTAAAGAGGTATTTACAGTGGAAACCAGTAGGACTCCAGGAAATCAGAACAGGGGGCACACCCGCAAGTGCTGGATGAGGTACATATAACCGAGGAGGAGGTGAGAAGCTGCTATGCGAACTTGACACCTCAAAGTCGGGGGGCCCAGACAACATCTCTCCATGGGTCCTTAAAGAGGAGAAGAATATTGATGGCCATTAACAAAGATCTTCAACACATATTTGAAACGGGCAAAAATCCCGAGGTAAGGAAAATGGCAAATGAAAATCCAATTTTTAAAAAGGGAGAAGACATGAGGCACTAAATTACAGAACTGTATCATAAATGTATAGTATTCAAGGCAAGAGAAGATCATCAGGAGGAGAGGGGGGGCACCTGGAAAGAAACAAGTGTATAATGAAAACCAGCACGATTCAGGAAGGAAAAACCTGTGTCACAAACCTACTAATTTATGACAAGGTGACAGAAAAAACAAGAGAAGGGGGTGGATCGAGCAATTTGGACTGCAAGAAGCCTTCGACACAGTTCCCCAAAGAGGTTATGCAAAAGCTGAGGATCAGGACACAAAAGAAAGGCACTGCAATGGATCAGAAAAATTGACAGGGAGAACAAAGAGTATGGTACGTACCGAAGGTCAAGTGGGGCTGTGACAAAACGGGGTTCCCCAGGGGTCAGTCTAGGACCAATGCGTTCTGGTAATGGAACGAATAAAAGGAAGGGATAGATAGAAGTTCCTGTTCAGATATGCAAAGTTAATGAGAAAATCAAATCGGGGGATCAGCAGGACTACGAAGAGACTGGCAGGCTACAAGCCGGTCCAGCAACTGGCTCTTGAATTTAACCCGCCAAATGCAAAGTCATGAAGATTGGGGAAAAAGGCAAAGAAGACGCAAAACACAATATAGTTTAGAAGGCCAAAAGCCTGCAAACCTCACTCAAGGAAAAAAAATTGGGGTGATATAAAAACGGCATATCTCCTGAGGCGCACATCAATCAGATAACTGCTGCAGCATACGGGCGCCTGGCAAACCTATGGATAGCATTCCGATACCTCAGTAAGGATTCGTTTAAGACTCTGTATACCATTTACGTCAGGCCCATACTGGAGTATGCAGCACCAGTTTGGAATCCACACCTAGTCAAGCACGTCAAGAAATTAGAGAAAGTGCAAAGGTTTGCAACAAGACTAGTCCCAGAGCTACGGGGATTGTCCTACGAAGAAAGGTTGAGGGAAATCGGCCTGACGACACTGGAGGACAGGAGGGTCAGGGGAGACATGATAACGACATATAAAATACTGCGCGGAATAGACAAGGTGGACAAAGACGGGATGTTCCAGAGAAGGGACACAGACACAAGAGGTCACAATTGGAAGTTGAAGACTCGGAAGAATCAAAAGGATGTTAGGAAGTATTTCTTCAGCATAGAGTAGTCAGGCCGTGGAATAGCCTAGAAAGTGACGTAGTGGAGGCGGAACCATACATAGTTTTAAGGCGAGGAATGATAGAGCTCATGGGCAGGAAGAGAGAGGACCTAGTAGCAATCAGTGAAGAGGTGGGGCCAGGAGCTGTGAATCGACCCCTGCAACCACAAATAGGTGAGTACACACACACACACACACACAGGAGCTCAGACTCGACCCTTGCAATCTCAACTAGGTGAGTACACACACACACATACATGAGTATACATACACACATGAGCACAAGCACTCACACACATATGAGTACACAAATATACATGCAAACACAAGGACGTCCATGGTTAAGCAAATTATAATCAACTTCATAAAAAATAGTATTGATTGCAATTTGAATGTAAGTTCATGATTGTATCAGTTAGATTCATTTAGGGTTATATGTTATGTTGACAAAATTTCCCTTGGCTTAATACTTTTTTTTTTCTCTCTACAAGTTGGCTGTCTCCCACTGAGGCAGGGTGACCCAAAAGAAAGAAAATCCCAAAAAGAAATACTTTCATTATCATTCAACACTTTCACCTCACTCCACACATAATCACTGTCTTTGCAGAGGCATCCAGATACAACAGTTGAGAATCATGTATAAGATATATAACATATCCCTCTAAACTGCCAATATCCCAAACCCCTCCTGTAAAGTACAGGCATTGTACTTCCCATTTCCAGGACTCAAGTCCAGCAAAATCTAATAACCAGGTTCCCTGAATCCATTCACTAAAAATACCCTGCTTACACTCCAACAGCTCATCAAGTCCCAAAAACCATTCGTCTCCATTTACTCCCATCTAACATGCTCACACACACTTGCTGGACGTCCAAGCCCCTCACCCACAAAACCTCCTTTACCCCCCTCCTTCCAACTTTTTCAAGGATAACTCCTACCCCTCCTGCCTTCCCCTACAGATTTATACGTTTTCCAAGCCATTCTACTTTGATCCATTCTCTCTAAATGACCAAGCTGCCTCAGTAACCCCTCATCAGCCCTCTGACTAATACTTTTAGTAACTTCACACCTCCTCCTAATTTCCACACTCCAAATTCTCTGCATAATATTTACACCACACATTGTCCTTAGACAGGACATTTCCACTGCCTCCAGCCGCCTCCTCGCTGCAGCATTTGCAACCCAAGCTTCACACCCATTTAAGAGTGTTGGTACCACTACACTTTCATACATTCCCTTTTGCCTCCATGGATAACGTTTTTTTTGTCTCCACAGATACCTCAACGCATCACTCACCATTTTTTCTTCATCAATTCTATGGTTAACCTTATCCTTCATAAACCCATCTGCTGACAAGTCAACTCCCAAATATCTGAAAACATTCACTTCTTCCATACTCCCTCTCTCCAATGTGATATCCAATTTTTCTTTATCTAAATCATTTCATACCCTCATCACCTTACTCTTACCTATGTTCACTTTCAACTTTCTACCTTGACACACCCTCCCAAACTCGTCCATTAACCTTTCCAACTTTTCTTTAGTAATCTCCCAAAAGCACAGTATCATCAGCAAAAGTAACTGTGTCAATTTCCATTTTGTATCTAATTCCCCATAATTTAATCCCACCCCTCTCTTGAACATCCTAGCATTTACTTCTTTTACAACCCCATCTATAAATATATTAAACAACCATGGTGACATTACACATCCCTGTCTAAGACCTACTTTTACCAGGAAGTAATCGCCCTCTCTCCTACACACCCTAACCTGTGCTTCACTATCCCATAAAAACTCTTTACAGCATTTAGTAACTTACTACCTATTCCATATATGTACTTGCAACATCTGCCACATTGCTCCCCTATCCACTATCATATGCCTTTTCTAAATCCTTAAATACAATGAAAACTTCCCTACCTTTATCAAATACTGTTAATAGATATGTTTCAATGTAAACACTTGATCTACAACCTCTCTCTCTCTTAACTTGCTGTTGCCATTTTCCTTTTGTCCTATCTGCCTCTTACTCTAACTGTAGCTACAACTAATAATGATCCGATATAATCAGTTGCCCCTCTATAAACATATACATCCTGAAGCCTACCCATCAACCAACCTTTTATCCACCAATACATAATCTAACAAACTACTTTCATTACGTGCTATATCATACCTAGTATACTTATTTATCTTCTTTTTCATAAAATATGTTTACTTATTCCCAAAAACCTCTTTCTATACATAGCTCAATTAAAGGCTCCCCATTTTCATTTACCCCTGGCACCCCAAATTTAACTACTACACTGTACTCCTCCACAACATTTTTACCCACTTGGCATTGAGGATCCCCAACCACACGTACTCTATCACTTGGTTCTCAAAACTCCCATGCTGAGTGAGTAGAATCAATGTGAGATTATGTGGTTTAGTGCTTCTTTTTTATTATAATAATGTAATATGTGAGGTTATATCTCAGCTTTTTTAAGTTTCTGTTGTCCTGTTGCTTTTACTGTTCCTTGATAATATGAGAAATCAAAAGCACTTTGAATTTAACTACCATATTTTTGTGGCTTATTAGACTCATTTTTTTCCATAAAATGCCTCCAAAAACCAACCTGTGTCCTATAAACTGAAGGTCAGCGACAGGAGATATAAGTTTGGGGTGTTGGGTGGGCTGTAGCTCTCCCAGTTACGTCTGATGCCGAGCCATTGAAACTGAAACAAGCCTTATAAGCCGTGAAAGACTGTATTTTTCACTGTGGTTATTTTGCAAATATGTACATGTAATAACATTAGAATAATATTTGCTCTTCATTATTAATCCTTGTTATTAAAAATTTTTGTTCCAAAAGTAAACATTACCTATTTTTCCAGAGCAGCAGATGCAACCTGGTCCACAGCTTACCCCTCAATCTATCCAGTATAGATACATGAAACGGAAGGACATTGAGAAAACATTTCCCTTAGGGAAGACCCTGGACTTTGCATATCCTCTTCTCCATCCAAAGAAAATACAGCCATCTAGGAAAGAAACAAAGCAGGAAAGTGTCTTTGCTGGAAACTGCCTAGAGGTGCTAGAGGTACATGGAAAAAACTATGTTATTCATCCAGAGTGGAAAGATGGGCAGGAGCAAATTATGCTTTCCAAACTGGAGAAGGGTATCTATTGTGGTGATGATTACAAAAGAAACAATTTATTTTTTAAGTTAAATAAATTTGCTTGCCTTCCTCAAGAGAAAACGGTTCTTCAGATTGTATCTAAAGAAGTGTACAATAGTGGGTATATACTCCTTCGCTCACATAGAAGTGCAGAGTTCATTTGTTTGGAAGGAGGACAGCAGGAACATAAAAGTACTGAGTGTAATATAATTAATGAATATTCTACAACAGATGTGGCTTTGAGTGACACCCTTCCTGGCATATGGGCAGTAGCTTGTACAGATGGAGATGTATCTTTACGAAATGCCCAAGATGAATGTCCTATTTGGAATGCCAGCTTCCAAGAGAAAAAGATTATGTCAAAATTTTCCTTGTACCACTGTGATTTTGGTAGGCATCCACAGTCTCTTCTTGTAGGTAATGAATCTGCAGTATGGTTATGTGACACACGTGTCAAAGCTAATGTCCATAAATATAAAAATTACCAAACAAATAAGTCTTGTTTTACAGTATTAGTAGTTAAAGAGGTGCAAAAGTATTTGTCCGGTTTTGAGGAAATTTGCTCATTTTCGAAAATCAGTGAATCGCCATATTTGTATGTAGTGACAGAAGATAGTGTCTTTGTAGTAGATGAACGCTTTTGTAAAATGCCTGTGATGAATTGGAGGCATATGTTAATTAAAAGACCATTCTATACAAGCACTAAGAGATTCGATGACATGGAGTTTCTTATGCTAGCAAACAGTCATGAAAAGAAAGTGAGTATAATAGCTAATGAATGGATTACAAATAAGTATAACAGACAGTGCAGAGGTGTAAGCTTACCCAAGCATTTTCAAATTGTCCAAGACACTGTAAACTTCGCTCATAAACAAGACCTTTGGTTCAGACACCAAGTACAGGATCGGTTAGATAACAGTTGGAAAGGTGTAACATCTGTTGTTCATCCAAAAGACAGTTTAGGTATGTTATTTCTGGTGTTGTACAGTAATGGAGACATTTTTTCTCAAGTCTTCAAAGTTTCTCAGGAAGATTCAGACTTCCCACATGGTGGAGCTACAGAAAACATTCAGTATGGTAAAAGCATGTTAAGTAAGTGGGAAGAAGAAACAGTTAAAGTCAGTGTAAATAAATCATTAACAGATAAGATTACCTACTTTGACACATCATCATTTTATCAGAAAGTCTTGAAGAAAAGTGTTACAAAAGAAATAGTTGAAATATTTGAAGATAACCCAGACATTGACACTGTTAAGAAAAAGATGATTTGGAACATTAGAAAACAAGTACAGAAGCTTCGAGAACAAAAGAAGGTGAATAAACTTAAGAAGGCTAAAAAGCAACTACGAACTACTCATTGGTTAGATGTCCTATTTGATAATTATATTACAGATTGCAGTAGCAGTGAGCTAAAACATCTGCCTCCTCCTAAAAATTTAAAGCCAAGTGTTCTTAGTAATTATTTACCACCAAAAATTATGTCTTTTTTCAATATTGAGAACCTAAAGAGCTTTCAGGATTTTTTGGCTCCCAAAATTCTCTCTGTATGGGTAGGAAGTGATACAGAGAAAATCAATAACAATGAATCAAATTTCCATTACCAAACAGCACCCTTTGATAGTTCTCTTTTATCAAGCCTACCTGCTAAGATGCGAGTAGATGATCAGATAAATGCCTTGGAAGTTCCTGATCTTGAATTTGAGGAGTTTAGTCAGTTTTCACAAGTTTCTAGGAATATGTCAATGTGTGAATCACAATCATCTCGTCAAACTGAAAAAAAAGCAAAGAAACCCCTTAAGAGGAAACCAAGGTTAGATGGATTTTAATAATGCATTGTATTACTGTCTGTAAAAGTTGGTAATTTTTTTATTTATAACTACACATGTTTATCTCACAATTGGTTTATTACACTAGCTGTAATCCTCAAAGTGTAAGGGATATTAATTTCATGTTTACATATTTATACTTAATTGCAAGGTATTATCATAGTAATTAGTATTTAATATGTAAGAGTATTTTTTGTAATACATACTGTACTATCTAGTATACTTTACAGTAAAAAACTTATCCCACTGAGGCGGGGTGGCCCAAAAGGAAAAACGAAAGTTTCTCCTTTTAAATTTAGTAATATATACAGGAGAAGGGGTTACTAGCCCTTTGCTCCCGGCATTTTAGTCGCCTCTTACGACATGCATGGCTTACGGAGGAAGAATTCTGTTCCACTTCCCCATGGAGATAAGAGGAAATAAACAAGAACAAGAACTAGAAAGAAAATAGAGGAAAACCCAGAGGGGTGTGTATATATACGTGTATATGCTTGTACACGTATATGTAGTGTGGCCTAAGTGTAAATAGAAGTAGCAAGACGTACCTGAAATCTTGCATGTTTATGAGACAGACAAAAGACACCAGTAATCCTACCATCATGTAAAACAATTACAGGCTTTCGTTTTACACTCACTTGGCAGGACGGTAGTACCTCCCTGGGTGGTTGCTGTTTACCAACCTACTACCTAGGATTATTATTATTGTTATTATTTTTTATTATTAGCACATCAGCCGATTCCCACCAAGGCAGGGTGGCCCGAAAAAGAAAAACTTTCATCATTCACTCCATCACTTGTCTTGCCAGAGGGGTGCTTTACACTACATTTTATAAAACTGCAACATTACCCCCCATTTAAGAGAGCAGGCATGTATACTTCCCATCTCCCAGGACTCAAGTCGGCCTGCTGGTTTCCCTGAATCCCTTCATAAATGTTACTTTGCTCACACTCCAACAGCACATCAAGTATTAAAAACCATTCAACTCCATTCACTCCTATCAAATACGCTCACACATGCTTGCTGGAAGTCCAAGCCCCTCGCACACAAAACCTCCTCTACCCCTTCCCTCCAACCTTTCCTAGGTTGACCCCTACCCCGCCTTCCCTCCACTACAGATTTATACACTCTTGAAGTCGTTCTGTTTCGCTTCATTCTCTCTACATGTCCGAACCACCTCAACAACCACTTCCTCAGCCCTCTGGACAACAGTTTTGGCAATCCTGCACCTCCTCCTGACTTCCAAACTACAAATTCTCTGCATTATATTCACATCACACATTGCATTTAGACATGACATCTCCACTGCCTCCAGCCTTCTCCTCGGTGCAACATTCATCACCCATGCTTCACACCCATATAAGAGTGTTGATAAAACTATACTCTCATACATTCCCCTCTTTGCTTCCAAGGACAAAGTTCTGTCTCCATAGCCTCCTAAGTGCACTGCTCACCCTTTTCCCCTCATCAATTCTATGATTCACATCATCTTTCATAGATCCATCCGCTGTCACGTCCACCTCCCAAAGATTTGAATAACATTCACTCCTCCATACTCTTCCCTCCTATCGCAGTTCCCTTCTTTAATCACCTACTCTTTTTTTCTCATAACCTTACTTTTTCCTAGATTACTTTTTATTTTCTTCTTTTACATACCTACTCCAAATTTCATCCATCAACTCTGCCAATTCTCTTCGGAATCTCCAGAGCCCAGTGTCATCAGCAAAACGGCAAACTGTGTCAACTCCCACTTTGTTTCTTTATCTTTTTAACTCATCTATAAATTTTATTGAACAACCACAGTGATCATCAACATCCGTGTCTTAGGCCTACTTTTACTGCGAAATAATCTCCCTCCTTTTCCTACATACTATAATTGAGCCTCACTATTCTCGTAAAAACTCTTCATGATTCAGTTACAATCTCTCTATACCAGTACACCTGGCAACATCTGCCACATTGCCCCCCTTTCCACCGGTCATACGCCTTTTCCAAATCAATAAATGCCACATGAACCTCTTTTGCCTTATGTCGTTACTGAGCACTTAACATGTTTACACTGTAAACACTCGGGCTACTTACCCTCTACCTTTCTTAAGCCTCCTTGCGTCATCTGCTATCTACTCTCTGTAGTAATTCTTATTCTTTCAATAATAACTAACCATACACTGTTACCAGGTTACTCAACTGACTTCTCCCCCTTAATTTTTGACTATCTTTTGTTCCCTTGCCTTTATACAAAGAAACTATGCACACACCTGCCCAATTTTTAGGTTACCTTCCCCTCTTCGTAAATTATTTAAATAATAGCACAACCACTCCAAAACTAATATCCCCACCGGCTTTTACATTTTCTGTCTTTAACCCATCAGTCCAAGCATGCTTCCCCCTTTCATCGACCGACTGCTCATGAACTTCCTCCACCTCACAATGGCTCTTCCTCACTCCTGCAAGACGTTATCCATCCTTGCCCTATACATGGAAACCACAGCTTCCCTATCTTTCATCAAACAAAATAACAATTCCTCAACTATTCCCTTCCATCGATTCCTATATCTCTAACTCTCCCATTTCAAATTCCCTCTCCTATTTTTAACTGACAAATCCTTTTGTTCCCTAGGGCCTTTCCTCAAAATTGTTGATCTTCTCTCCCAAAACTTTTTCTTATTTTCAACAAATTTATTTGAAAGCATCTCAACCACTCTCTCATTTGCTCTCTTTTTACACGATTCACCGCTCTCTTAACCTTCTCTTTTTTTCCTCCATCTTCTCTTCCCTCTTGCATCAATTCTACTTTGTAAAAACCTCTCATATGCTTTTTCTCCTTACAATATCTCTACATCTCATTCCACCAATCTTCCTCTTCCCTCCGCACCCACGTGTCTGTAACCACAAAATTCTGGCTAACACTCGAACACGCATTTTTTAAACCTACCCCATACATCTTCGACCCATTGCCTATACTCTCACTAGACATTTATCCTCCTATAGTTGTTTATTCTTACCTAACTGCTCCTCTTTTAGTTATAAACCTTCACCTCTCCTTTACCTGATGTGATGTTTTCCTTGATAATTCCCATCTACCTTCGCGTAATTCACTGTGCTACTACTAAAAAGTGTCTGTCTGTGGTTCCGTCTTTAAAAGATGTACATCCTGAAATCTATCACAGTCTTTTATTTGCCATACAAAGTCCAACAAACTACTGTCATTATGCCCTATATCATATTTGGTATACCTATTTATCCTCTTTTTCTTAAAATATGCATTACCTATAACTAAAACCTTTCTATATAAGTCAATTCTAAGGGCTCCCGTTATCATTTACATCTGGCACCCTAAACTTACTTACCACCCCCTTTCAAATGCATCTCTACTTTAGCTCATTTAGGTCCCCTACCACAAATCCTCTCTCACTTGGTTCAAAGGTGCCTATACATTCACTTAACATCTCCCAAATCTCTTCTCTACTCTCCTCTCTTCTCAGGTGCTTATCCAAAGCTTATTATGACACCACTTTTTGCATCCCACCTTATTTTAATCCACATAATCCTAGAATTTACACATTTTATTCTCTCTCTCCTTCCAAACTGATCCCTTCAACAATTAATGCTACTCCGTCCTTATCTCTAACTCTCTCTCAGATACTCATGGACTAATCCATTATTTCTCCCCACCGAAACTCTCCGACCCCTTTCAGCTTTGTTTCGCTAGGCCAGGACATCCAACTTACTTTTTCATTCATAACATCAGCAATCATCTGTTTGTCTTCGCACTGACATCCACGCACATTCATGTATCCCAGTTTTATTAAAGTTTTCTTCGTCTCTTTTTTAGTTAAATGTTAACAGGAAGGGGATACTCGCTCATTGTTCCAGGCATTTTAGTCGCCTCATACGACACGCATGGTTACGGAGGAAAGATTCTTTTCATTCCCCATGGACTCAATTGAGAAATAAAGAAGACAAGAGCTATTTAGAAAAAGAAGAAAAAACCTAGATGTATGTTTTATACATATCTGCATGTTGCATGCCTGTGTAGTGTGATCTAAAGTGTGAGTAGAAGAAAATAGCAAGTATCCTGTTATCCAGCCTTTTTATGAGACGAAAAAGAACCAGACATCATTATGATTAATATTATTATTAATATTAGTATTTTATTAATTTTATTAAACACATCAGCTTCTCCCACCAAGGCAGGGTGGCCCAAAAAAGAAAAACTTTCATCATCATTCACTCCATCACTGTCTTGCCAGAGGCATGCTTATGCTAGTTATAAAACTGCAACATTAACATCCCTCCTTCACAGTGCAGACACTGTACTTCCATCTCCAGGACTCGAGTCCAGCCAGCCGGTTTCCCTGACTCCCTTATTATTATGGCTGTAAGGCCCTTACAGGTTTAGCACTTGGTTATTATTATTATTATTGCTTACCATATATTCATGAGGAAATGCAGAAACTATAAGTAATACTGGACTGAGACATTTAGGCATCCCTGGAGTCTCCTTATTTAATTTCACACCTTACAAACCCTTGTTGATATTCTTTAAAAAACAAATTGTTCAACACTTCTATGGTGGAAGCAGAAAAAAAAAATATTAGCCCTAATAAAGATAAACTGTGTATGTCTTACTTTATTTTTTATGTATTCAGTGCATGGTACCATAACATTTTATCTTACTGCACAGGAAATTTTTACTAGAGTATTTTCATTTTTTTTGCCTTTTATGTTTTGATCATCCTTATAGGTCAGCTGGCCTGCACCTAACCCTTTCACTGTCAGGAACCCCCCTCCTTCCCCAAGAAAAAAAAATTATAAGAGCCAACAATGTTGGGAATTCAAAAAATAAAAAATCTTCCATGGTAGAGAATCTTTTTCTGAAGATAATGGCATTAAAAATATGAAATTTGATGGAAAACTTTGGGAATTATGCAGGCATAAAGTTGGGGGTGTAGGTACAATTTATTCACTGGCACCTCTTCAAGGGGGGCTCCTTGGCGTGGTGAAGAGGCTCCTTGGTCTGAGGAATTAGACCTATCGGTCGTTTCCTCAGTCCGACACCTAATTACCCCCAATATCCCTCCCTATCCCATCCTCCCATCTCCCTTTTTCCTTTCCTCTCCCCCTCCCCACCTCCCTTTTTGCCCTTCCTTTTTTGTCCTTTGGGATTTCTCCCTCACAGGCGCGCTAGTTCCTAGGCGCAGAGGAACTGGATACCGGGGTCCATCCCATTCCGGTTGAGTTTTAGCGGTGGCGTAGTTTGCGGGAAATCTGGAGCGCTGGGGATGTTCTCGATCCCTCTCGGTATTCCGGAGTCGCTTTGGGTGTCTTTCGGGCGACGGTGTATCTCTGGGAAGCCACCTTGATTCCGGGGGTGGTGCCGAAGGAGTTAGCTTTGTGGCGGGATTTCCGCCGCCCTCTCTTTTGTCCGACGAGGTAGGCCGGCAAGATTGTGAGGTTGCTATCCGGTAGTTAGTTTACTAGGCATGTGGGTAGGGTATGGGCACGGGTTTCCATGCTGCATCTGCGCTATTGCGTGCTGAGGTCCTCTTGGCGCGGAGGGTAATTTCTGGCCCTTTTCAGATTCCCTCCTAGGGACCTATCCCTCCCCGGTTCCCCCCTTTTTTTTCTTTTTTTTATTTTTATTTTTTTTCTTCTTTCTTTTTTTTTCTTAAAAACAAAAAAGAAAGAAGTAACCTATCATGGCACGCCTAGATCATGAACCTGGTGCCCCTGCCCTTCTTGATACCGCACCCCGTTCGCACCGCCTCGTCTTGGACCACTTTAGTACATTCTCATGCTCTGTACCTATTGCCGGTGACTGTTTCCTCACCCGCTTCAGGTACTGATGCTCAACTGACTCTT